TGAAGCCTCACGGATCAACGTAGCGTCCGTTTCGGGTTGCGTGAACGCAGCGGGAACGTTCCCCTTCGGAGGGATGAAGGTGACTGATTCACTGTGGATTGTTGGCTTCGTTCCAGCTCGACGAAGTTCTCCGGCAAGGGAACGTGACCACGGACTACCCGGTGGCCGAGACCATCGTGATGGTTGGCTTCTTGATGACGGTCTTTGTGGAGCAGCTCGTCTTGACGTTCCAGAAGGAAAAACCCTCCTTCATCGACCTGGAGACCTTCAACGCCGGGTCGGACGTCGGGAGCGACTCTGAGTACGAGAGTCCCTTCATCGCGTCGTCCCGTGGGCGCGCGGCCTACGGCCAACACGGCCACCACCCCCACGGCCTGAATATCCAGGAGCTCTCCCGCTCCGGCCCTTTCCGGCTCCTGGGGCTGGTGTTTGCCCTGTGCACGCACTCCCTCTTCGAGGGGCTGGCCCTGGGCTTGCAGGAGGAGGGCGGCAAAGTCGTGAGCCTCTTCCTAGGAGTTGCCATTCACGAGACGCTGGTGGCCGTGGCGCTGGGCATCAGCATGGCCAAGGCCTCGTTGCCGCTGAAGGACGCCGCCAAGCTGGCTGCGACCCTGAGCCTGATGATCCCGCTGGGCATCAGCGTTGGGATGGGGATCGAGAGCACCCGGAACGCGGCCGGCGGCGTCGCTTCCCTGCTCCTCCAGGGCGTCGCGGGGGGCACCTTCCTCTTCATCACCTTCTTCGAGATCCTCGCGAAGGAGTTGGAAGACAAGGCCGACCGTCTCCTGAAGGTTCTCTTCCTGGTGCTGGGCTACGCGGCTCTGGCTGGGCTGGTTTTCCTCAAGTGGTGAGCGCGGGAGCGGCGGGAAGCGAACCTCGCCTCCTCCCCGTGCCAACGGCACCGGAGCTGAGCCCTCGACGGCCGAGCGAAGCATCCCGCGTGCTGTTTCCGGCTCGACCTGACGAAGGAGAATTCCTTCCTGTGTGCTCGGGGTGGGGGGAGATAAAACCGAGGAACATCCCAG